CTTCAGCCTTGGCATCAACTACAAAATATATATATATATATATATATATTATAATCACAGACATTCGTAGCAGATGATGAGGCGACTAAATACACTATTAGTGCCTAATAGCACAATAGATACGGATAACCGTATCTATTAGTTATTAGTCACCAGTAGTATGTGTAGCCACCTCATTGTGTGTCATGAATGTCAATGATTATGTAATGTTGTTTTCTTGTAGTGATCCATACAATAATTGCCTAATATGATATCATATATAGCTCTGGTTAATTTTATAATGTGTGTGTAGACAAATTAACATTATGATTATTATTGTTTTCTGCAGCCTCAAATGAGACTTCTTGAATTGAAGCAAATAATTAGTGGGGAGGGGTCCGAAGTCTTTTGGAGCATATTTGAAGGAACGTGTGTAAACGAATTGGTGGGATATGCAAATAATTTATGAATAAAATCTATTGTAAGGTAACCGGTATAAGCAGCCACTGGTTGATCTCTTCATATAGTCCAAGTGATCTACTCCATTACTAGTAGCTGGGAAACTAAAAATAAACTTTAAATAATGTAAAACGATGTTCTTGCTACACTAGTCTTTAGTTAATGTTGTGTACTTCTCTTGACGTCCTAAATTTGCGAGAAATATTTATAGAACATGTATATATACAACAAATTTTGCTGTATAGAAGATAGATAGGTCTGTGCATGGAAAAACCTTGTTGGAACTCCATTTCCCAGACTTAATAAGATCTCGATATAACCCACAAAACACAAACGTTTAGTAAGCCGGACTGAATTGGTTAGAATTGAACTTGGAGTATTGAATTGGGTTGGTTTGGACTGACTTGAAATTGAGTCCAATAATGTCAAGTTATGTACCAAACAAAGGACTGGATTAGACCTTTAATGCAAGAGGAGCCTCTGTATGTATCTGATGCAGAGTGTTTTCAACTAGAAAACATGAAGAATCCCAACTTTTTGGCAGAGATTGAAAATAGCCAAAAAATTTATAATAAACCTGGAACGACAGATAAAATAAGATAAGACCAATAACAAAATCTGACATTGTTACCGAATTGTGGCATTCTGAGTAATAATAATCTCCGACTATCGAGCCAAGGAGAAAGAAACCATCTCACAAGATAAAACCAAAAGAAAACCCATAGCATCTAATAAATATATCATATAAGATAGTAATAAATAAATAAAAAACAGAAAATCCAACCCAAAAAAAAAAAAATAGCGTCTGGATAACATTATCTACATGGGTGGAACTACCCTATGGGCTACAACCTAGGGAGCTTTTTGGGGGAAAAAAACCTATATATTAAATATAGCTCATTATGTAATAATTAAGGTTTTTTATTTATTTAAAAAAGAGATTTTCTATTTAAACTCCACACTTCTCTTAGTTCACCCCATGTTCTAAGTTTACCCAAATTTTTAATTTAAATTTTCACAATTTTTAAGAAAACCCTACTATCTTCCCAAACTATTCTTAAATACACCCCAAGCTGAAAAAATAAGAAATAAAAGAAATTTTCTATTTAAACCTCACAAGCTACCCTTAGAGGAGGAAGTATGTTCTTATTTGACAGACTCTTGATTTGTTGACATTAGGGTTAAGTAATAAGTTGAATGACCTTTTTTATCTTTTTACACAATAATAAAACTTACAGCTTAATGATTTAAATATTTGGGTGAACTAAGAGAAGTGTGAGGTTTAAATAGAAAATCTCTTTGAAAAAAGGTCAAATTCTTCATGAATTTAGTTGCAGGGAAGCAATAAAAACAAAATAAATACACTTTTAATTTTGTTGTTGAACATATTTTTATTTTGATAATATGTGTTTTTGGATTGCATTTAATTAGTATTTGTTTTATGTTAGAGATATTTTTTTGGTCTAATTTATGTTAAAGCTTATTGGAAATTAGTCAATAGAGCTATGAGCTAACATGGTCTATATGATTTAATATATACTTCTCTTTCTAGAAAAAGTACATAAATTGTAAGTACAAAAAAGATAATTATTATATTTTAAGCTAATAACTTTAGTTAGTTCAACCATTAAAAAATTCATAGTTCCACCCTTGATTATCTAATCCAGGAAATCAAAATAACAATTATCAAAGTATCTCAAAATTTAATAATAAAATCGTTTGTAAAAGAAACAATAAAATAAAAAAAAAAACAAGTTTTAGATAGAGATCTTAAGGGGAGAGAGAGAGAGAGAGAGAGAGAGCCAAATAAATCTCTTCACTTAAAAAAAAAAAAAAGAGAGAAGAAATTGAAAGGCAGGAGAAAGAAGAAAGGAGAAGAGAGAGAGAGATAGAGGAAGGCAAACTAGAGAAAGATGATGCGAAGCGTGGGGGGTGAGGAGGAGCTCCCGCTCGTTATAAATCCACATTTAAGGTTGGGTTGCATAGCCCTAGTTATTTAGGACTTGGATCCAAAGCCCATATCCAGTATGTGATACAATTAAGCCCATCAAACAACAGACTGAATCCATGCCCATTTTAATTGAATATATCCAGTCTAGTTCAGTGCACCAAACATGACGAGCTTTGTCAAGTAAGGAGGCACAGTGTGGGTACCAAATTCCACAACCTATCTGAAATGTCTTTCCTCATCTGGAATTAAACAAAAGGCTTTTTATCACAAAACGTCCATGATGTTTACGAAATTATCAGATTGCATCCTTAAAGTT